GGGAGGGGAGGGGAGCAGACCCCGCGCGGGAGGACGCGGGCCCGGGGAGGGAGGGGAGGGGAGCAGACCCCCGCGCGGGAGGACGCGGTCTGGCGGGGGAGGGGAGGTTTACTCCCCCGCGCGGACGGGGGCGGCCTTGGCCCGGAAAGGACCCGCGGAGCCGGGTGGGCGAGGATCGCTCATCCCGAGCCCAGTCCCTTCCCTCCCTCGGCTCTGGCGCTGACACAAAGCAGCCTGGGCTTGGGTGAGCGGCTTCGCCCTTCAGAACCCCCAGCCTCACAAGTGCCCGCGAAAGGCTGCTCAGTATCCAGACATAGCCGTTTGCAGCCTTGGCAGTCTGTCCGTCCGTCCACTCGGTTTTGTTTTTGTTTTTTACACTAGAAACGTGGAGTGCTCCGTTATTAAAGCCCTGGGGCTGTCCCTCGGGGCCTGGGCTCTGTCCCTGAGCCTCTTTGTGCTCAAGGCTTGTGCTCTAACCACTTGAGCCACTGGACCATTTCTGACTTTTTCTGAGTACTTTATTGGAGATTAGAGTCTCGCAGACTTTCCTGCCCCGGCTGGCTTCAAACCTCGACCCTCAGATCTCAGCCTCCTGAGTAGCTAGGATGACAGGCGTGAGCCACTGGCGCCTGGCTAGTTGTCGATTTTTAAAAAAATTGCTATGTACATCTGCAGGGGTTACCACTTTAACATCTTTTATATTCAAGAAGAAAAGAGAAAATAGGGCTGAAAAGACTTACCTGGTAATTTATACAATAAAACTCTAGGATTGGAGACAGTGCTGTATGAAGTTACGGGCATATGTCTTATTTTAGGACATGTGTCCAGACATTGGATTGTTAATTCAATGGGAATGTCGGCATTTGTAATCCAACCAAATTATGAATGTTCATTTGCCTCATAACTTCACCAAAGTGTGTTGTTACCTTTTGGATTATTGCCAGTCTAAGGCAAGGCATGCTATTTCAGTGAACTTTTTATCTCATTATTCCACTATGAAACTGAAAATCTTTTGTCTTCTGCATGAACTATATAGTAGTGTTTTATTTATTTTTAAAAATTTGGCAAACAACATTGGGATTGGTTGTGTGGTATTATTAAAGAAAAATATCCTGACACTTGTGAAAGTGCTAACAAGGACTTTACTCAAGACTACAGCAAGAAGAGCACTGTAACAGAAGAGCATTAACAGAAGAGAGAACTCAATCTCTATCTGAATAGAGGAACAACAGCTAGAGGTTTATTCCCAGCAGAGAGAGGCCTGGTGGGTGAGAAAGGGCTGGAAGAAGAGTGGTAGGATTTTGCAGAAGGCTTACACCTCTGAAGCAGAGAATGAGGAACTTGAACAGATATCAGGTATGATCAGATACCAATCCTGGGGAGGAGTCTTACTAAACTGACT